TGGTCGCGCATCTCTGCGTAAGTCGAGCGCGCGCCGAGCGCGGACTTGCCGCGACCCGCCTCCGCCTCTGCCCCGGCCGCCCCCTCCGCCTCCGGGGCGGCCGGAGCTGGAGACGCCTCGCCCGGCGTCTCCGGGTGGCGGGACCACGGGAACCAGCCGCGCCGCGGCCTTGGCGGCGTCGCGGCCGGCGCCGGTGCGGCCGCCGCTGCCTCGGCCGCAAGCCTCTCTGCCTCCGCCTCCTCGGCCGCGACTCGCGCCGCCTCCTCGGCCGCTAAGCGCTCCGCCTCTGCCTTCGCCGCGGCGGCCCGCGCCGCCTCGGCGGCCGCCCTGCGCGCCGCCTCCGCCTCCGCGTCCGCCTGCAGCCGCGCGAGAGGGGGTATCCGCGGGTCGGGCGGGGGGGGGGGGGGGGGGGCCCCCCCCGGGAAGAAGGCTCTAGCTCTTCCCCCCATAAAAAAAGGCCCCTTCGAATGTGCACCAACGGGGTCAATGAAAGGGGGGGGTCTAGAGACTGAGGGGGTTTGGAGGTTCTTCTGTCTGTCTGTCCGCCTGCAGCCGCGCGCCCACCCGCAAGACGCGGTTCTGGTTCGGCACCTAGGTGCTGCATACACCAACATCAGGGCGGGAATACGAGGGAAGCGACTACAGTGAATACGGCTGAATACGGCCGAGTACAGCTGAACACGTGTCCTCTCGAGCGCTAGTTGGAGTACAAGAATACCGCCTCTAGCGTTCGGCACCGGCTTGACGACGTGCTGCTTCTTCCCGAACCAAGACTTGCGCGACGGGGGGGCCTCGACGCGCCCCCACACCGTCTGGTGCAGCTCCGTCGCCGCCCCCTCGCTGCGCACCAGCATCTCCTTTGGCAGCTGCACCGGCGCCAGCAGCGCGAACTCCGCGTCGTGAGCCTAAGGTGCAGAATACGCCAACCTCGGGGCGAGAAGACGGTTCGTGCGGAGTACATGGCCAGGAGTACGGCGGTGTGCAGAGTACTAGTGGTGCATATACCAACGTCGGCCACCGTCCTACGTGCTACGAATACGCCACCCTCGGGGGCGAGAGTGCGGTGCTGTGCGGTGTCATCAGAGCACCGCGTGAATACGAGCGACAGGAGTACAAGCGATGCGGTTGCAGTACACGACGGAATACAGCCGAAGCCGTGTCCTCTCGAGCGCCAGTTGGAGTACAAGCATGCGTCTTCCGCTTCTAGTCGTCGTGAGCCGCTCTGCGCTTGGCCGCCTCTGCGACCGCCTTCTCTTCGCCCTCGACGCTGCCGGCGCTTCCCTCCGCCTCCTCGCGCGCGTCGCCGAGGCTTGAGCGGGAGCTCTCCACAGCGTGGTACGACTGCCGCAGCGGCCGGACCGCGCCGACAAGCGTCTCCTTTGTTCGCGGCGTCAGGCTGGCGTCCTCCGCCTCCTCGTCAATGCCGGCCGGCGACGGCGCGCGGTCGCCTAGGGACATGTCTCGGACGTGTCATGGACGTGTCGCGGACATGCCGGCCGGCGACGGCGCGCGGTCGCCAAGGCTCATCCGTAGGCTGCCCCGGTCGCCCGGGTCGCCGCAACTCGAGCGGAGGCTGTGCCGCGCGCGGGCGAGCCGCTCTGCCTTGCGCTCCCCCCCGGTGGGGCCGGCAATGCACCCGTTTGGAGCCGCGCTGATGCGTCTCGCGACGCCGGCGAGTTCGTCGTCCGCCTGCGTCGTGGAGCCGAGGTGAGGGCGGGAGTGCGGTCTCGCGCCGCGTATTCAGAGCAGCTCGTGTGAAGACGAGGGATGCGACCACAGTGCATACCGCGGAAGAGGATCGGATGCAGCGGAGTGCGCGCCCCTCGAGCGCTAGGCGGGGTGCAAGAGTCCGTCTTCCGCTTCTAGGGCGGGAGATATGGGGAGCTATGGGGAGCTATGGGGAGATATGGGGAGATATGGGGAGATATGGGGAGATATGGGGAGATATGGGGAGATATGGGGAGACAGTCCGCTTCTAGGCGTGTCGTCCTCCTCCGCCGCGTCCGTCGAGGCGTTGGACGCTGGCGCGGAGCCCACCGACTCGGAGGACGAGCCGACCGCGTCCAGCATGCCTGCGAGGGCGTTCGCCGCCGCCGGAGAAGAGACGCCGCTTTCCACCTCCGCACCCTGCCCGCCCGCCTCCGTGTCCGCCGCCGCCGCCTCCCCCGCCGCCGCCGCCTCCCCCGCCGCCGCCGCCTCCGCCGCCGCCGCCTCCTCCTCCTCCTCCTCCTCCGCCGCCGCCGCCGCCGCCGCTTCCGCCGCTTCCGCCTCCCCCTCCGCTTCCGCCGCGCCATCGGCTGCCGACGCCTCCGCAGCAGCCCCCGCCTCCTCCTCCTCCTCCTCCTCCTCCTCCTCCGCTCCACCGCCGTCGGCCGCCACCGCCGCCTCCGCCGCCTCCGCCGCCTCCGCCGCCTCCGCCGCCTCCGCCGCCGCCTCCGCCTCCGCCGCCGCTGGCGCTGCCGCCGCCTCAGGCGCCACCGCCTCGTCGGACGCGTCGTCTGCTGCCACTCCATCGCCAGGGTCTCCCCCGCCTGGGCCTTCCTCCCTGGAGGCCGTGTCCGCCTGGCTCTTTCTAGCCGCGATCACCTCCGAGGCAAGAGCCGCTGCGCCGCCGGACGCGACCGCGTCGCCGATGATCTCGAGCATCGCATCCTAGGCGGGTGGGTACGTGGGCCTCTCCACACGCACAACGTGGTGGGGAAGGGGCCAGGCAGCCCCTCGCATCTCCACACCCGGACACGGGCAGGAGCCGGCACGGCACACATCAAAGTGCAAGGCCCGGCGCACGTGGTCAGGGGCGGGAGTACGGTCTTGTGCAGAGTAGTCAGAGCACCGCGTGAATGCGAGGGGTACGAATACATGAATGCAGCTGAAGGCTGACTACGCGACCTCTCGAGCGCTAGTTGGGAGACAAGAATATCCGTATTCCCCTTCTTGGCGTCGCGGCCTTCCCGGCGCGGCCTTCCGCCTTCATCGCAGCTAGCCGCGCCTAACGCCCAACCGGAGGAGTGTTAGGCCGAGGCCTCGGGGGTCCGAGGGACGCGTCCAAGCGGTCGGCGCGCCTTCATCTCCGCCTTCTTTTGCGCCGCCGCCGAGCTCGCACCGTCGTCGGGCGCCGCCGGGCCGCCCTCACCCGCCGCCGCCGCCTCCGCAGGCGGCTCGGCGGGAGGCTCGGCAGCCTTGGACTCGTCGATCGTGTCCTCTGGAGCCGGAGCGGGAGCGGGGTCTTCGGCTCCCGCAGCAGCCTCCTCCGCTGAAGGAGGAGCCGGCGGATCTTCAGCGGGCTCGGCCGCTGCTGGTGCATCCTCCTTTGCCGCCGCCGCTGCCTTCTCCGCCTTGATGCGCGCCAGCCGCTCTTTGGGAGTCTCCTTCTTTGCCTCGGCCGCCGCAGGTTCCACTGCCGGCGCTGGCTTCGCCTCGGCCGCCGGAGGCTCCGCTGCCGGCGCGGGAGCAGGCTCCTCGGCTTGGGCGGCGGCGGCGGCCGCCGCAGCCTTCTCGGCCTTCATCCGAGCTAATCGCTCCTTGACCGACTCTGGCATCGTTTCGTGCTTTGTGCTGTTGTCCTCTGCAGTCTGGTCAGCTTCTGCGGTGTCGGCGGGTCGGCGGCTACCGACAAGTGCTCGCAATGGACGGTGTCGAGAGAATAAAAAGAAAACGATTTCCAAAACTCCCTCGCACGACACTAGGCACAGGACTGGCGCGCACTGGCACTAACACAGGTACACCGAATAAAAAGAATTTTACAAAGCAACTCCCTCGCACGACACTAGGCACGGGACTGGCGCGCACAATAAAAATAATTTCGCCCGACAAAAAGAGAAACGGAGAATTCTCACAAGAAAAAATGCCACACGCCCTCTTTCAACACAAGGCACGGGACTGGCGCGCACTGACTGGCACTAACACAGGTTCACCACGGGAGCCGCCAAGCGACTCCTGCGAGGATTGCAGCGCGCGGGCTCACACTCTACTATAGGCCGCCTCGACGCCCACTTCGAGTTCTACTCAGCTAAGGGCCGCACTTGACGCTGTAAGCAGCGCGCGGCGAAGCAGTTTGGCGCTTGTGGTGAAATGTGGGAATCTAGCCCAAGGTCGGAGAGTCGTGTCATAGGAGAGGAGAGAGTGTGGAGATGTTTTGTGCGGGATCAGGCCCGAGTCCCTAGTGTCGCCGGAGCAGGTAGCTCCCTTTTTGAAAACTGAACAGTTTTTTTTAGGACAGTAGCTCAAGGCGCCCGCGCCGCACAAACACTGCACTCTGACCACCGCCCAGCACCGCCCCTGCCTTGCGCTGCCTTGCACCACCCTGCCCTGCCCCTGCCCGCCCCGCACCGACCTTCCCAGCCCCGCCCTGCCCAGCACCGCCCTGCCCTACCCCTGCCCGCCCATCCCTGCCCTGCACCACCCTGCCCTGCCCCTGCCCGCCCCGCCCTGCCCTGCCCCTGCCCGCCCCGCCCTGCCCTGCCCCTGCCCGCCCCGCCCTGCCCTGCCCAGCCCCGCCCTGCCCAGCACCGCCCTGCCCAGCACCGCCCTGCCCAGCCCCGCCCTGCCCAGCCCCGCCCTGCCCAGCACCGCCCTGCCCAGCCCCGCCCTGCCCCGCCCCGCCCTGCCCAGCACCGCCCTGCCCAGCCCCGCCCTGCCCAGCCCCGCCCTGCCCAGCCCCGCCCTGCCCAGCACCGCCCTGCCCAGCACCGCCCTGCCCAGCCCCGCCCTGCCCTGCCCCGCACGCTAGACTAGACTGCCACAATCAGACACCTCCCGACGCCACGCAAACTCCGTTGCTCCACGCACACTCGCCGTTGCACCAACCTGACCCCTTCCACACTTCTCGCGCCGTCTCAACTGCACTCGGTGCAGCCGGTGCAGCCAGTCCAGGTGCACTTGTCATCCCAGGCCTGCGTCTTGTCCTCACAAAACGACTTGCACACCGGCGCAGGGGACGAGCACTCGGAGCAGCCGTTGCAGCCCCCCCAGGTGCACTTGTCACCCCAGTTCTGCGTCTTGTCCTCACAAAACGGCTTGCACATGCCGCACTCGGAGCAGCCGTTGCAGCCCCCCCAGGTGCACTTGTCACCCCAGTTCTGCGTCTTGTCCTCACAAAACGGCTTGCACATCGCTGGGGGCGACGGCGGTGGTGGCGTCGGAGGCGGCGGTGAGGGGGGCGGCGCCGACGGTGAGGTTGGGTCGGTCGGAGGCGGCGGTGTGGGGGGCGGCGCCGACGGGCCGCACTCGGAGCAGCCGTTGCAGCCCCCCCAGGTGCACTTGTTACCCCAGTTCTGCGTCTTGTCCTCACAAAACGGCTTGCACATCGCTGGGGGCCTCGGCGGTGGTGGCGTCGGAGGCGGCGGTGTGGGGGGCGGCGCCGACGGTGGCGTCGGAGGCGGCGGTGTGGGGGGCGGCGCCGACGGTGGCGTCGGAGGCGGCGGTGTGGGCGGTGGTGGCGTCGGAGGCGGCGGTGTGGGGGGCGGCGCCGACGGTGAGGTTGGGTCGGTCGGAGGCGGCGGTGTGGGGGGCGGCGCCGACGGCAAAGGGGCCAGGCACTCGGTGCAGCCGGTGCAGCCAGTCCAGGTGCACTTGTCATCCCAGGCCTGCGTCTTGTCCTCACAAAACGGCTTGCACGCCGGCGCAGGGGCGGAGCACTCGGTGCAGCCGGTGCAGCCAGTCCAGGTGCACTTGTCAGTCCAGCCCTGCGTCTTGTCCTCACAAAACGGCTTGCACACCGGCTCAGGGACGATGCACTCGGTGCAGCCGGTGCAGCCAGTCCAGGTGCACTTGTCATCCCAGGCCTGCGTCTTGTCCTCACAAAACGGCTTGCACACCGGCGCAGGGGCGGAGCACTCGGTGCAGCTGTAGCAGCCACCCCAGTCGCACTTTTTATCCCAGCCCTGCGTCTTGTCCCCACAATACGGGTTGCACGTCGCGTGTACGCCGACGGCGAGCGCCAGCGACATCACTGCACGAACCTGCGAAGTGTGCATAGCACTTCCGTCGGCGAGTGCCGAATCCTTGTGGATCGGATAGCCAAAATCGGTCTAGATGCAGAATTTCACGCTGAATCGCATTCCGGATCCGTAAGATTCCGCATGGCCTTTCTCAAGGTGCCAAAACTCCTAAGTTTTTTGGATGACTTCTAGATAGAGATGAAGGGTGTAGTTACCTGTTAGGGGGTGGGGAAAGGGGGGAGGCAAAGCACAGCCCCCAGCGCAGGCGACGCAACGACTGCATGCACGCCTCTCCGTCCGTCGGGGGTTCCCCTCCGAATTTTCGCAGAAGAAAAAATTGCCACACGCCCTCTTTCAACACAAGGCACGGGACTGGCGCGCACTGGCACTAACAGGTAGCCGCCTACGTAAGCGACTCCTGCGAGGACGGCGAGGCACTTAGCTCCGTGCACTCGACCGCGCCTGTGATAGTACTAGCACGCGCCAGTTCGCACCTGTGTCGAGCCTGTCTGCTGTGAGAGAGAGTTATTTTGTTTAAATTCTCAGCACAGACCGGCGGTGGGTGAGTGAGTATTCTTGATACGAAACCACGACGACACACACCAGTCGACTCGCATCGGTTGCCTCCATGAACGGCGGAGCTATTCTCGCGTCCACACCACACCTGGCTCCAACTCCCATAACTCACACAGACCGGCGGTCGCTCGGCAACTATGGCTCATGTCCACCTCGTCAGCTCGTTCCTTGCCGCACCTTGGACACATGCAAGCGAGCCCATCCAATGCACGACGGCCATCGTTGGAGGTGGCTGGGCTGGCGTGTACTCGGCGTGGCGGCTCGCGGTTGACGCCGCTGTAGCCGACGCGTCTTCGGTCTGCCTGTTTGAGGCGCGTCAGGCGGTGGGTGGCCGCACGTACTCGGTGGACGTGGACGGGCTGACCGTCGACATCGGCGCGTATCGCTTCGGCATGAGCATGCACCTGCCCGCCGACCTCATCGTCAATCATTTCAAGCTTGAAACCGTCTGCTACGAGCCCTCCTGCTCCCCGGACGCCGAGATGAACGCCACCCTCTACCGCATCGTCGACGCCGACGGCCACAACGCAGGCTACGCCACACCCGTCCGGGCCATGCTGCGCGAGGCGCTCGGCCGCGGCGTGCGGGTCTTTTACCGGCACGAGCTCACGGGCATCTACGACGGAGGCGGCGACGCCCTCGCGGAGGGCGGCGCCTCGCTGCTCCACTTTGCAGGAGGCGGCGGCGTGGTCCGCGCTTCAGCCGTCCTCCTCAACCTGCCTCGCCAGGCGGTAGAGCGGCTCGACCCGGCGTCCGTCGTGTTCGACAGGGGCCCGAGCGTGCGGGCGAAACTGGCGACGACCATCCTGACCAACTGCACGCCCTGCCAGGCGGGCCCTGTCGCCGAGGCGCACGAGGATGTCAAGGTGTACGCCATCTACGACCATCCGTGGTGGGTCAGCAAGCTCGGCCTTGCAGAGGGCACCTTCGCGTCGGTCGACGCCGACCCGCCACTGGTGGGGCGATATCACGACGGACCGATCCGTCGGAGAGGCAAAGAGCCCCCCGGGCCAGCGGCGCTCGAGGCGGTCTACACCTTCACGCTCGAACACCCGCAGGTCAAGTGGTATTTGCCATTTGTCCGGGACCTCGCGGGCGAGCCGCTGACCGTCACCACCGACCCCGCCCTCCTCCTCCCCCTCCACACTCGACTGATGGACTACCACCGCGCCGCCTTCGCTGCGCGAGGCTGCCACGCGACCGCCCCCCTCTCCGGCGGGAGAAGGTTCCCTGAACCTTCTCCGAACCTTCTAGGTTACAACGCGTCCGCCGAGCCTCCGCCGAGAGAGGTCGTGCTTGGCATCTGGACCACCGACAAGCTCGCGCTGCTGCCGTCGCCTACCTCGTCGATGATGCACGTACAGACCTCCAGGCCTGGCGCCTGCCCAGCCGAGCCTTGCCTGCGCGGAGTCACGCCGCGACAGTACGTCGACGCGGTGGCGACGCCGAACTCGCGCCGGCGCGTCCAGCTTCGCCGACTTCGACCGACTCTAAAAAGACACGCCTTGGAGGTCTTTTTTATAGGCGCATCCACCTCGCCAACAACGACTTCACGTGGACCGGCTACCAAGGCAAGCCGTGCTGCTGGGCGGAGCAGTCGCTTCGAGCGGTCGAGCGGATTTTGGTGCGTGAGTGGGCGCTGCCACGGCCCGCGTGGCTCGACAAGCAGTACTGGACGGACCTGGTTGGCGAGGCGGACGCCACCGCCGCCTCCGCCGCCTCCAGCGATGCTGCAGCAGCGGTGGCGTCCAGCGATGATGCTCTGCCGCAGGCGGCGCTCTGGCGAGCGGCGCAGGAGTGGCAGAGGCTCTCGCGCCGCTCGAGCGACGCGTCTGAATGAGCTTGCCTGCGGCGAGCGAGGGCGGTCGAGTGCACGGAGCCAAGTGCCTCGCCGTCCTCGCAGGAGTCGCTTACAGTGGGTTGCGGGCATTAAGAAAACAGGATTTCGCGGCACGCCGCCGTTTCTAAGCCTTTCCACACCCCTCACCCACCCCACGCCGTGGTTTCTTAGCTCCCAAGGTAGGTCAAAGGTGTCAGAGCCGGCCCCCTCCCCCTCGTCGGAAGAGGCCAAGAGCGGGTGCGAGCCTAGGTGCGAGCTGCGGTCCCGGACGGATCCGATGCCGCCAGCCAGTCTTCTAGGGTACCGAGGCTCCACCCCCCCCCTTGGCGCCTTGTGTTTTTCGTGCCAAACCAGCCGATCTCGGCCCGTCGTCCTCCGCTCGCGCCGGCCGCCCATGCGCTCGCGGGGCTCCCCGACGGCGCGGGCCTCTTGCCGATGGACCCAGCCGAGGTGCCCAACCAGTCGGAGTGGCGCTGACGCGCTGCGCGCGACCACCAGCCAGCTTTTCAGCGAGGGCGAGAACGGTGCCTCGAGAATGTAGACACTCTCCGGTCCATCCGGAATTTTGTCGTTCTAGTTAGCACTGCTGCTGCAGACAGGGCCCGCGTGACACCATGCCCTTCCCGGATCTCGTGTCCTGAGGCGTGTCGTCACCCCGGTGTCCGCCCATGGACGCGTCCCGACCAACGTATGCCGCGCACGACGCCATATCGCCTTCTCCCAGGGCCAGTGCGCTACTTGCGGCGCGCAACGCCTGCTCAAGTACCCCCCCCACCATGTGCTGCCGCTATGCGTGCCTTAAGGCGGCTGCGGCGAAGCGGCGGGCGCGGCATGCCGATGGCAGTGCGGACGATGCGGTTGCGATGTGTTCTGCTTCAAGATCGTGGCGGTGCTTGGCATGCACTTCTGCGATCCCAATCAGCTCATCGCAACGAAGCAGAGCAACAAGCTGGCTGCTGCCAACAAGGCCCTATGCTACCTCACGCGCGGATCGTTCAAAGAGGACCAGCACACACAGGCTTCACGCCTTCACCGTCACGCATTTGATTAAGCTTGAGGAGCTTCGTGTCATGTGAGAACTGTTTGGCTAGACGTCGCTCAAGAATGAAGGAGCAGCAACGAAAGTCGAAAGAGGAGGATGCTGAAGCGGCGATTGCTAAGCATGAAGAGGATCGATCGCCCGCCGCAGGCGAAGAAAATTTGGGGGCTGCGCCGTATCGTTGATCACGGTGGGAGCCTCCTGGCCCCAGGCCGTGCCACGGCCGACTTAGCCGATGTAAGAGGCTCCCGCTGATCTTAGACCGCGCAAGCACTCCAGCGTGGCTAGCCACACTTAGACCCGTCCAGCCTCGAGGCTCAGAACTTAGACTACTACCCAACCAGTGCCGCCGGGGCGGGCGTTTTTGCCCGCCCAGGACGCCCCGGCCGAACGTGGCAGCGTCGTCTGTTCACGCGAACAGCCCTTTGGAACCCCCAACACGCTATCCACCTCACCGGCTAAATGCTCGCAATCTTCATCCCCGCCTTTCTCTCGCACACCGCTTGCGATTCACTCTTTCCCCTGCGCAACGGACACGGTCCGGTTGGCTCCAGCCACCGACCTCCAGCACCCGAGCACGCGCCGAGGAGCTCCTGCGAACTCACCGCGCCGCCAGCGCCTTTACCCGCTGCACCCAGTCCGCATCCTGCAGCGCTACTCGACTACAGCGAAGGGGGGGAAGCTGGAGCTGGATCCAGACTGGATCCGACCATCGCCCGCCGCGGCTGCGCCTCGCCTCGCCTCCCTGGTCTCTTCGTCACCGGCGGTAACTCCCTCGATGGCCCTATCTGCGCCGCCTCACGTCCCGTTGACAGCAACTCTGTTATCCGCCTCTTCATCGGCGACGTCCGCATCGGGAGCCACCCTTATGCCCTCCCACCTTCTCGTAGCAGCGGTGGCCGCCGCCACGCCGCTTCGCCTAGCCTTCCAGGCCTCTCCGTCGACAGCGGCGTTTCCCTCGGTGTCTCCGTCTGCACCCCCTCGCCTCCTGTCAGCAGCACCCCAATTCGTGCCAGCGACTCTGTCCCTGGCGGCTCCGTTGAGAGCCGCTCGCGCCGTCTTCTCTTTCGCCGACAGCGCCTACGCCATCGCCAGCAATTGGTTCGCTATGCCGGGTTGCCGGGTTCAGCGAGCCAATTGCGCAGCCTGGTTCGCGCCGTCTTCGCTCTCGCCGACAGCGCCTACGCCATCGCCAGCAGCAATTGGTTCGCTATGCCGGGTTGCCGGGTTCAGCGAACCATCAACATTTTTCTTTTGCGTCGACACGACGATTTTTTTTTTCTATTTTTTTCACAACCACGACAACGACCGGACTCAATTCTTCACAGCAACCAAGTGGATGTACCAGCAAGCACCATGCAAACCCACCACGCTTCACCGAGCGCGCGCGCCTCCTCCTACGCCACCACTGGAGAGGGAGAGAGAGAGAGAGAATTTTTAGCAATACCAAACAAATTTTGTTTTTCTGGAGAGGTCCCACGCACAACGCGCCATGACCGCACGAAGTTTGCACCAGCTCACCATCATCCACACGACTGCCATGCAATTGGTTCGCACGCCGTCGACTACGATGTCGACCACTCTGCCGAGAGAGTCTTTCTCGACTTTCTCTCTCTCCTGCGCTATCGGCTCGCACACGCCGTCGACCACAATGTCGACGACTCCGCCGATGGACTCCGACCTGACTCACATCAAAGGTCCGAAGAGATTGACGAAGCGAGTTACGGTTGCTCGACTAGAGCCGTACGTCGACTCGTCGAGGGGGGGGGCGTCGGGCCAAAGCCCCGCCCAGACTCCCTTCACACACTCTCTCTCCTAGAGTCCCGTGGCGTCGTCCTAGAGTCCGGAGGTCCCGTCTCAGGGCCACGTCCCCCCCTGTCGCCCCCCCCAGCACACACGGTGCCAAGGGTTCAAACAACAGCACACAAACACAGACAGGCGACAGGGGCAACGTGTGAGACTAGAGCAGGCTGCTCCGCCTCTAGCAATCTCGCCGGCCCCGCAAGGCCGGACAACACTGTGTGTGGGGTCGTGTGAGGTGTCTATGGACGCCGGCCCTCCTCACAGGCTAGCGGCCAGCCGCTAACCCGCTATCTCGCACTCACGGGTGATGACAATTTTCATTGGGTGATTGCGAGCAGAAGCGCGTGTGCTGATTGTAGGCCTCACGCCGTGGCATATGACTTGGGGAGGCGTGCGACCGCAGCGCGCCCGCCGTACGCTCGACGGGGCGCGCATGTCAGCGAGAGAGTTGCGGGTAGAGCCATACCCGACTTTTTCGAAGACGAGCCCCGCGCCACGGGTGCCAGACGTGCCTTCGCGGGAGTCGCCCTTCGAGCCGCGTCTCGTCGGCACTGTCCCTGAGTGCGTCTCGCCTTTGCGACACGCACTCGACGAGGACAGTCCAGCCGACGGGAACGTGTCGCGCGCCGGCGACGGTTGCGGCGTGGTGTGTGTGTGTTCGAAGCCGCGCCGATGGCACGACCACCGCCCTGCATCCTAACAATATAGGAGCAAACAAGAAGAGAAACAAAAGAAACCGACACTCCGAGGGAGGGTGGCTCCGTGCTCGGTCGTCGCGGAGTTGCTGTTTACGTCTCTCTCGCGCCAACCCGCCCCCCCCCCCCCCTGCTCTACTCATCCGGCTGGACCCAAGCAGCCGGCGGCAGGCCAAACTGCAAGAGCAGCCGCAGCGGGCCTTCGCTCGTGTCGCCGGGCAGGCGCGGCGCGCGCGTGTAGTCCCGTGAGCAGGGCCTCGCCCTCGGCCCTCCGCGATGTAGCGAGTCGCCACGAGCAGCAGCCGCCGTCCCTGCCCACCGGGTCCTTCCCGACGAGCTTGGTGTTCTCGCCTAATCTCGGGCCACCTCGGGTCATCCTGCGGCGAGCGAGGGCGGTCGAGTGCACGGAGCTAAGTGCCTCGCCGTCCTCGCAGGAGTCGCTTGGCGGCTCCCGTGGTGAACCTGTGTTAGAGAGTGCCAGTCAGTGCGCGCCAGTCCCGTGCCTTGTGTTGAAAGAGGGCGTGTGGCATTTTTTCTTGTGAGAATTCTCCGTTTCTCTTTTTGTCGGTCGAAATTATTTTTATTGTGCGCGCCAGTCCCGTGCCTAGTGTCGTGCGAGGGAGTTGCTTGGTAAAATTCTTTTTATTCGGTGTACCTGTGTTAGTGCCAGTGCGCGCCAGTCCTGTGCCTAGTGTCGTGCGCGGGAGTTTTTTGTAAAATCAGACTTTTTATTCTCTCCGCACACCGTCCATTGCGAGCACTTGTCGGTAGCCGCCGACCCGCCGACACCGCAGAAGCTGACCAGACTGCAGAGGACAACAGCACAAAGCACGAAACGATGCCAGAGTCGGTCAAGGAGCGATTAGCTCGGATGAAGGCCGAGAAGGCTGCGGCGGCCGCCGCCGCCGCCCAAGCCGAGGAGCCTGCTCCCGCGCCGGCAGCGGAGCCTCCGGCGGCCGAGGCGAAGCCAGCGCCGGCAGTGGAACCTGCGGCGGCCGAGGCAAAGAAGGAGACTCCCAAAGAGCGGCTGGCGCGCATCAAGGCGGAGAAGGCAGCGGCGGCGGCAAAGGAGGATGCACCAGCAGCGGCCGAGCCCGCTGAAGATCCGCCGGCTCCTCCTTCAGCGGAGGAGGCTGCTGCGGGAGCCGAAGACCCCGCTCCCGCTCCGGCTCCAGAGGACACGATCGACGAGTCCAAGGCTGCCGAGCCTCCCGCCGAGCCGCCTGCGGAGGCGGCGGCGGCGGGTGAGGGCGGCCCGGCGGCGCCCGACGACGGTGCGAGCTCGGCGGCGGCGCAAAAGAAGGCGGAGATGAAGGCGCGCCGACCGCTTGGACGCGTCCCTCGGACCCCCGAGGCCTCGGCCTAACACTCCTCCGGTTGGGCGTTAGGCGCGGCTAGCTGCGATGAAGGCGGAAGGCCGCGCCGGGAAGGCCGCGACGCCAAGAAGGGGAATACGGATATTATTGTCTCCCAACTAGCGCTCGAGAGGTCGCGTAGTCAGCCTTCAGCTGCATTCATGTATTCGTACCCCTCGCATTCACGCGGTGCTCTGACTACTCTGCACAAGACCGTACTCCCGCCCCTGACCACGTGCGCCGGGCCTTGCACTTTGAGTGTGCCGTGCCGGCTCCTGCCCGTGTCCGGGTGTGGAGATGCGAGGGGCTGCCTGGCCCCTTCCCCACCACGTTGTGCGTGTGGAGAGGCCCACGTACCCACCCGCCTAGGATGCGATGCTCGAGATCATCGGCGACGCGGTCGCGTCCGGCGGCGCAGCGGCTCTTGCCTCGGAGGTGATCGCGGCTAGAAAGAGCCAGGCGGACCCGGCCTCCAGGGAGGAAGGCCCAGGCGGGGGAGACCCTGGCGATGGAGTGGCAGCAGACGACGCGTCCGACGAGGCGGTGGCGCCTGAGGCGGCGGCAGCGCCAGCGGCGGCGGAGGCGGAGGCGGCGGCGGAGGCGGCGGAGGCGGCGGAGGCGGCGGAGGCGGCGGAGGCGGCGGTGGCGGCAGCGGCGGAGGAGGAGGAGGAGGAGGAGGAGGAGGCGGGGGCTGCTGCGGAGGCGTCGGCAGCCGATGGCGCGGCGGAAGCGGAGGGGGAGGCGGAAGCGGGGGAAATGGCGGCGGCGGCGGCGGCGGAGGAGGAGGAGGAGGAGGAGGCGGCGGCGGGGGAGGCGGCGGCGGCGGGGGAGGCGGCGGCGGCGGGGGAGGCGGCGGCGGCGGACACGGAGGCGGGCGGGCAGGGTGCGGAGGTGGAAAGCGGCGTCTCTTCTCCGGCGGCGGCGAACGCCCTCGCAGGCATGCTGGACGCGGTCGGCTCGTCCTCCGAGTCGGTGGGCTCCGCGCCAGCGTCCAACGCCTCGACGGACGCGGCGGAGGAGGACGACACGCCTAGAAGCGGACTGTCTCCCCATATCTCCCCATATCTCCCCATATCTCCCCATATCTCCCCATATCTCCCCATATCTCCCCATATCTCCCCATATCTCCCCATATCTCCCGCCCTAGAAGCGGAAGACGGACTCTTGCACCCCGCCTAGCGCTCGAGGGGCGCGCACTCCGCTGCATCCGACCCTCTTCCGCGGTATGCACTGTGGTCGCATCCCTCGTCTTCACACGAGCTGCTCTGAATACGCGGCGCGAGACCGCACTCCCGCCCTCACCTCGGCTCCACGACGCAGGCGGACGACGAACTCGCCGGCGTCGCGAGACGCATCAGCGCGGCTCCAAACGGGTGCATTGCCGGCCCCACCGGGGGGGAGCGCAAGGCAGAGCGGCTCGCCCGCGCGCGGCACAGCCTCCGCTCGAGTTGCGGCGACCCGGGCGACCGGGGCAGCCTACGGATGAGCCTTGGCGACCGCGCGCCGTCGCCGGCCGGCATGTCCGCGACACGTCCATGACACGTCCGAGACATGTCCCTAGGCGACCGCGCGCCGTCGCCGGCCGGCATTGACGAGGAGGCGGAGGACGCCAGCCTGACGCCGCGAACAAAGGAGACGCTTGTCGGCGCGGTCCGGCCGCTGCGGCAGTCGTACCACGCTGTGGAGAGCTCCCGCTCAAGCCTCGGCGACGCGCGCGAGGAGGCGGAGGGCTGCGCCGGCAGCGTCGAGGGCGAAGAGAAGGCGGTCGCAGAGGCGGCCAAGCGCAGAGCGGCTCACGACGACTAGAAGCGGCAGACGCATGCTTGTACTCCAACTTGCGCTCGAGAGGACACGGCTTCGGCTGTATTCCGTCGTGTACTGCAACCGCATCGCTTGTACTCCTGTCGCTCGTATTCACGCGGTGCTCTGATGACACTGCGCAGTGCCGTATTCCCGCCCCGAGGTTGGCGTATTCAGCACGTAGGCCGCCCCGACGTTGGTATATGCACCACTAGTACTCTGCACACCGCCGTATGCATGGCCATATACTCCGCACGAACCGTCTTCTCGCCCCGAGGTTGGCGTATTCTGCACCTTAGGCTCACGACGCGGAGTTCGCGCTGCTGGCGCCGGTGCAGCTGCCAAAGGAGATGCTGGTGCGCAGCGAGGGGGCGGCGACGGAGCTGCACCAGACGGTGTGGGGGCGCGTCGAGGGCCCCCCGTCGCGCAAGTCTTGGTTCGGGAAGAAGCAGCACGTCGTCAAGCCGGTGCCGAACGCTAGAGGCGGTATTCTTGTATTCCTAGTAGCGCTCGAGAGGACACGTGTTCAGCTGTACTCGGCCGTATTCAGCCGTATTCACTGTAGTCGCTTCCCTCGCATTCCCGCCCTGATGTTGGTGTATGCAGCACCTAGGTGCCGAACCAGAACCGCGTCTTGCGGGTGGGCGCGCGGCTGCAGGCGGACAGACAGACAGAAGAACCTCCAAACCCCCTCAGTCTCTAGACCCCCCCCTCTCATTGACCACGTCTGTGCACATTCGAAGTGGCCTTCTCTTATGGAGGGAAGAGCTAGAGCCATCATCCAGGAGGGAGCCCCCCCCCCCCCCCGCCCGACCCGCGGATACCCCCTCTCGCGCGGCTGCAGGCGGACGCGGAGGCGGAGGCGGCGCGCAGGGCGGCCGCCGAGGCGGCGCGGGCCGCCGCGGCGAAGGCAGAGGCGGAGCGCTTAGCGGCCGAGGAGGCGGCGCGAGTCGCGGCCGAGGAGGCGGAGGCGGAGAGGCTTGCGGCCGAGGCAGCGGCGGCCGCACCGGCACCGGCCGCGACGCCGCCAAGGCCGCGGCGCGGCTGGTTCCCGTGGTCCCGCCACCCCGAGACGCCGGGCGAGGCGTCTCCAGCTCCGGCCGCCCCGGAGGCGGAGGGGGCGGCCGGGGCAGAGGCGGAGGCGGGTCGCGGCAAGTCCGCGCTCGGCGCGCGCTCGACTTACGCAGAGATGCGCGACCAGGACGAGGAGGAGGAGGAGGAGGAGGCGGCGGAGGAGGGTGGGGAGCAGGCCGCCGCCCCGGCTGCGGCCGTGCTGCCGCCCACGTTCGCCGACAAGGTGCGCGCCGTTTGCGACACGCTCGGCGTCGACAAGTCGTTGCCCACGCCGGCGGCGCTGCGGGCGTGCAATGAGGCTGTCGGCGTCGTCGGCACGGCGAGCGTCGGTCCAATCATCGGCCAGAAGTAGCATTTGGTGAGCGGCAGCCACCAAGTGCGCGGCAGCTTCTTCTTTAGCAGCAGCAGGTACACACCGCAATAGACACCGAGTGCCGCCGCCCAGACAGCCGGCGATTGAAGCGCCGTCAAGACACCGAGCGCCATTCTGTGGGGGCTCGCAGCAGCCTTTGCTGATTCTTATGCACCGAAGCGAGGATGGCCGCGGGCAACGGACGCGGCAAGACAGCGATATGTGGGCCGATATGCGGCGTGGGTGTCGCAGCAAGTAGGCAGCCCCACCCGCGGGACGTACGAGTTGCGGGTACCCGGTGGCGGTTGCGCCCGGTTGGAGAGCGTCGCGGCGGAGCACATGATCGACGTGGTGTAAGGAACGAGCGAGACCTCCTACCTTGTAGCAATCAGCTACCACAATGAGAAAATCACCTTTTTCGTATGTCCTAGAAGGCCCGCGCGCAGGGGGGTGGGACATTGAGACCGGTCATGAATGAGTGCGCGACACGCATGTTGCGAGCAGCGTTGTTGATGTTCTGCGCGTCGCCACAGACGGCGGCGCGCGAAAGCTGTTGCGAGTGGTGCTGGGCGACGAAGCGCCCCCGGGCGCTGCTCGAGGCTGTGCCGTAGTCGGTGCGGTCGACGGCGCTCGGGCTGCCAACCTCTTTGGCGAAGTTGAAGATGATTCTCTTGGTCGGCGGCGCAATGCCGCCTGGCTTTCGACGAGACAAATCTTGACTATTCCGTTCTTGACATGGATGGAGCGCGTCGTAGTGCTGTCCCTTGTCGCTTGTGCTCTTTGACCCAGCCTTTGCCGGTCGCATGGACGAGCGGGCCCTGTGACTTGTGGCCGCGCTCTGCACCCAAGAACCTTGAGCAAGGTTTGGTCGAGGGTGCCGCCGAAACCAAATTTGTGGCCCAGTGACGCACAGCATCCGCCGTGCGTGTGCCGCCGAGCCCTGCCCAGCCTGCCTCGTCTTTGTGAGGGCGCTAGGCACCTTGACTTCGTAGTGGACATTCTGTGGAGCACCAGCAGGATCCTGAGCTCATCGGCTGTCCATTCCAAGTGCCCTTGAGACCCCTAGGTAGGTAGGTAGGTAGAAAGGTGAAGAACAGCCAGGCTCGGACTGGACACCAACGCGGTATGGGTGGACGCTGGACAGATGATGACGACACGCACGAGCGACACACAGACACAAAACAGGCTCACAAGACACACAGCCAGCTGGCTGCCACACACCCTGAGTCGGCGTACACATAACTCAGGGCCACATCCTCCCTGTCGCCCCCCCCAGCACTCCAAGGTGCCAAGAGAACAAACAAGGGCACAACGACACAACAGACGACAGGAAGTGACATGCGAGGCTAGAGCAGCTTGCTCCACCTCTAGCAATCTCACCGGCCTGCGAGGCACGGACGAGACCGTATGTGGGGTCTAGTGAGGTGTCTACCCCTAAAAAACAAAACATCGAAGGCTTAGCTCAAAAAAAACGCCACGTCGGCGAACCTCGGGCGAGAGTTAGGCGGCGCGCTGATAGACGAGAGTTAGGCCTGCTGGACGCGCGGCGCCTTCTCGTCGTCGGAGAACTCGATCTACCCCGGCGGGAGGACTGCACGATGTCTCTCGCCTCCTTCCTTCAGCTTGCCCCCGCCGGCACTGAGCGACCCGACGGCGCAACCTCCATGCTGACCCTCGAGGGTAAGACCCTCACTGCCACACCTTCGATGGGCACCAAGCCTGCGACTGAAGCCTGCGTCCTCTTCGGCTTTTCGGACGAGAAGCTTATGGAGGGCGCCGAGGTTGACGGCCACCGCAGCTACGACGTGCTTCCCGGCTCCGAGAAGGTCCTCGAGGCGTCCGGGCGCAAGCTCTCCTCCGTGAAGGCCGTGCTCATCATCAACGGCACCGTCAAGCTGGACCCGCCCAACTTCCGCGGCATGCTCGAGAGCGAGGAGATGTCCGCGAACGTCGGCAACATGTTTGCTCAGCACGACGGCCTCATCGTCAAGCACTTCCTCGCGGCCCGTTGGGGCGAGAAGAACCGCGGGGGCGGTTGCTACTTCTTCCAGAGCACCGAGGAGATTGAGAAATACCTCTCCAGCGACTTCTGGGAGGGTTGCGTCAAGGAAACGCCCTGGGAGAACGTCACGTACGAGATGTACGCCGTCGTCGAGAAGTAGGCACCATTGGGAAGCTCCCTCCTTTCCGCTCCGTGCATGATACGTAAATTGCTGCCCGGCTGCGCCGCTCTCAGCGTGTGTGTTAGGGGGAGGCCGCGTTGTGCCTGTTTTTGCTGTTCTGTGAACACACTGAGAGTGGAGGCGGTCAGTCCATCAGTTCGCACCCTCTCACGTCTCAGCGGCAGGGATTTGGGGCATCCAGCAACAGCACATGCGCCTTCAGCAACCGGAACCGGGCATCGTCGGGTCGAGTATCGGGTATCGCGCGCCTCGCCTTGCTTATCAAAGTCGGCTGCGCCCTACGGCCATCCCGCCGGCTCTCGAGTGTCGCAGGACGCCCGACTTTGATTCTGAGTTGCCCGGATGTTTGTTCTGGGTTGGCCCTGCTAAAACGTAAGTGGGTACGTACAGAGTAACAGTGTGGTACGTAAAAACGAAACCCACGCTCGCGGTGCAATCTGATATGGAATCGTGAACGCTCAGTCTCGCTACGACGTCTCGTCCCCTATGCCGTCGGCGCTCGAGTATACACCAAAAGCAAGTTGAGCTAGCCCCATGGTGCATGGAGGGAGACGCAGAGTCACCATAAGGTCACGCTGCCTGCGGGCGGGGCCGGGTGTCCTGTGAACTTTGCACATTGCTATGAGATTGCGTCATTGCGTCGCCCTGCATGGAGCGACTCCATGGTCTACTGTCGGCAGGCTCTGCGCAGCTTGGGTATGATCTTATCCGAGTATCTCTTCGGGGTCTCCGGCAGCAGCGAGCTCATCGCCTTGATGCTGGCAACTGTCGCATTCTTGCACTCTGCCCCGATCTTGGCCTTCAATTCCCACTGGTGCATCAACCTCGACACTGAGTCCCGAGAGACTCCTCGCATCAGTACGAAGTAACCGTAGGACCCCGTCAGCCCGAGGAGCCGCAGCATACCTGAAGACACCAGCTGCCCGAAGACAAAGAGGACTTGATTGACAGCTGGAGGACTGTCCACCGTATTTGTGAAAAAGAAGTCTGCAAACACCAGGATGGAGCCCGGACGCAAGTAGGGTGCAACGGCGCCAATGTCCTGCGCAAGTGGCGCTGCGCTCTTGGCCGCATCGGTGATGAACACGTCGACTGTCGCCCCAGATAGTTTGCTATCCACCTCCCGATGCTCTCGAAAGTTGACGCGTTGGGCTCGGACGGTCGGATAGACGTCTTGTACGTTCCAATTATAGATTGGCAGCAGGTCTAAGTCTTTCATCTCATAATCAGTTTTCTTCGGATCCCACCAACGCGTCCCGCGGAGCTTTGCAGCGTTGGACCCGATGAATCCAGCTTTGAACGCATCGAATCCAATCGCGCGATTCGGGTGGCCTGTCTGCTGGATCCCGGCTGCGAAGCATCGCATCGAGCCGCCTGCCCAGGTCCCAAATTCAACGAGCAGCCCATCGGTCACGCTCGCTCCGGCCGCGTAGTTGAAGCAGCACGCATAAGTGCTCATCGTGGCAAGCTGCTTGCCTTCGCGATCAAGTGACCCAAGCTGCAGCATTGATGCATCAAAGAAGCTCTTCCATGCCCTGTCTGGTGTGCCATGCACCATTTGCAGCCACTTGGCACCCGGCCATGATGGATCCAGTGGGCCCAATGCGTTCGCGTCGAGGGCAACAGATGCGCCGCAGTTGAGGTCGTGTGCCGTGGATTGAGACACGAGCAGCAGCGGCGCGGCGCGAAGCAGCGACCATGGTCGAACCATATAGCCGTACGAAGAGAGAGCAACGCCAGTGCAGCCCAGCACGAAAAAGGTGAAGAAGATGCACAGCAGCTTTGACGAGCAGAAGCTGCCGAAGCCAGAGCCGAAGCCGAAGCGCGTCGAGGTCGGCTTGGTCTCCTCAGACGAGTCGTGCTTGTTCACCTGCGGTGCGAGACGCGCTGTCAAGCAAAGGTGCGGCGGGTGTGTGTGCAGAGCGAGTGGGCGCGAAACCGTCGAGGACTTTTCACCCGCTATGTCCGCCTCCGCGTCCTTCTCGTCGTCCTTCTCGTCGTCCTCGTCCTTGTCGTCGTCGGTCTGCGCCTTGATCTCGACGTCGTCGAGCAGGTCGTACTTGTTGAAGACCTTCGTGGGCTTGACCTCGCCCTTGCAATCCGTGTTGTTGCGTGAGGTCGAGGCGATCCAGCCGGCCTCGTCCTATCGAAAGCGGGACCGGGTCAGCTCAGTGTGGGTGTCAGACGCAAACTCCGCTCCTCGGAGGCGGCCTCCTCGGCGACGGCGGCCTCCTCGGCGGCGGTCTCCTCGGCGGCGGCGGACTTGGCGGCGGCGGACTTGGCGGCGGCCTCCTCGGTGGCGGCCTCCTCGGTGGCGGCCTCCTCCTTCACGGCCACCTTCTTGCGCGCCAGCAGCCCGCGCGAGACGCGCTGCATGATCTTCGCAGCGCGCGGCTCCGCCAACCCGATCTCGACGCTGGTCAGAAACACCGGCTTGGAGACGTAAAGGCTGTCCTCCACGACCATTGACAGGTCGGCCCACTCCTGCATGGTAGGGGTACACGGGAGAGAGATTAATACGGGTGGGTGGAAAGCTAGGATTGCCAGGAGAGAACGCTGCGGCGCGCTCACCGCTGGGTCGGGCGTGTTGAAAACGGTCTTGGCCGGCTTCTCGACCTCCTTGGCAGCCTCCTCGGCGACCTCCACTTCGGCGACGGGCGCCTCCTCGGCGACTGCCTCCGCGGCGGCGGACACCTCGGCGGCGGCGGACTTGATGGTCGCCTCCTTGGTGGCGGACTCCTCGGCGACGACGGCCTCCTCGGAGGCGGCCTCGTCGGTGGCGGCCTCCTCCTTCACAACGACGTCGTTGTTGACGCCGCACGCCTGAGCAACGTAAATGTTTGAAGACGGGGACGCCGCAGGGACAACGCCGATCCTGGCGTGCGCGTGCGCACCTCAGCTCCGAGGAGCGAAGGCGGCAGCGTCAGGCTCGCGCGGCGGCGCTGATACCACTCCTCATAATCCGCACTGGAAGCAAAGTAGCCACCGACCTTGATCGAAGCCGTTGGCCCGAGCTCGGTCTGAACCTGGGCCCCCTCCTCAGGCGCGAAACAAAAGCTGATTGGCACCTTTGCGAGGCTCCGATGGAACACGTGGGGGTTGTCGAACCAGACGCCCTTTGTTGATCTCACAACCAAGAAAGCCGACTCGCCCTCGCTCTCATTGAAGTCGACCATGTAGCGCCTCTCGGCGCGCGTCCTGCAGAGCAGAGAGAATGGGGGCCGCCCGTGAGAGGGGTGAGGCAAGGCGCCTGCATTGGTCGGAAGTGCGAACAGCTATGCGCATGTGTGGGGTCTGAAATGAGAGGAGAGTGACGGGGGACAAAGCTCGGACGTTGAGCCTGCGGAGGGCGGCGTCACGAGGGAGCGGGCTAAAGTTCATGTCGGGCGAGTGGCGGCGAGGCGGGGGGGCTGCGGCGGCGGCAGTGTCGACGGCAGGGCGGCGAAGGCATCGGTGGCGGCGGTGAAGGCTGCGGCGGCACATTGCGCGGCGGAGTCGGCGGCACAACGGCGGCGGTGGCCCGGAAGTGGCAGCAACGAAGCGGCGGTGGGCGAATCGTCGTCGTTCATAGCCTGGCCGCAGTAGTCAGGCACGCACGGCGACACGTCGTTCATAGCCTGGCCGCAGTAGTCAGGCACGCACGGAGACGCGTCGTTCATTGCCTGACGGGGCGCGCGGAAGGGGCCGCGGGTGGGGCGGTTGCGAGCGGAGCTCCGGTGGCGAGGAGGAGGCGGACTGTGCCAGAGGGAGAGAAGGGGCGCGGGAACGACTACTGGCCTGCACGAGCGCCGTGACGCCGATCAGGCGAGCCTCTGCTGTTCGAGATGCCCGGCAAAGATGCCAGTCAGGCCGACGATGGTCATCGAGTTGAAGACGGCGGCGCGGCGACGATGTCGCCGAC